GTCCCAGTAGACAGCCTTTTCTGCTTGTGTAGCATGTGTGATGTCCAATCCTCAGGATTGTATAGCCGCTTGTGGGGCCCACGGGGCATCTGACAGTGTGTGGGGATGTGGCTTTCACAACTGCAGGAAAGGGTGCTGGCACCCTCATCTGTCAGTAGCACCTGGGAGCAAGGGCAGGCAGAGCTGGTGCTGGTAGCAGAACAGAGGCTCCCCCCCCCAGAATCCTGGGAGAGCAGTTCCCTGGGTGCTGAGCAGAGATGCTAGCCCACTTTGCATGTGGGGTGGAGACGTGAGGTAAAATGGGAATGGGTTGTGGGGCTGCCGCTCAGCAGAGGGCCCGAGGTGAACGCATGGATGACTTTGCGTGTTCAGAACAAGCCCTCTGGCAGGAGAGGCCACACTTGGGCACAGGGAGTCTGGGTGACTCATTCGATAGCATGCAGCCGGCTGAATGGATGGTGGGGCCTGTGTGTGTACTGAGTGCCTGTGCACACACTCCAAGGCTTACCCCTCTGCCTCAGGACTATGGCTCGGCACTCCGAGGCCTGTGTGAAGATGCCCTGGAGGGCCTGCTCTTCCTGATGCTCTTCTCTCTCCTGTCTGCGGGGGCCCTGGCCACCACCCTTTGCAGCCTGCCCCGTGCCTGGGCTCTCTTCCCGCCCAGGTCAGCAGGGGAGAGAGGGCAGGGTCCCTAGGGAGGGGACAGGAGGCGGCACCCAGGGCCACTGGTGGGGATGGGGCAGCCTCCTGATGGAGTCCCAGGTTTTCAGATGGGTTCCCATCCTGCTTCTCTGCCACTCCCCCCATCACTCCTCAGTGATGACAATGATGACACGGATGATGACGACCCTTTCAACCCTCAGGTACAGACGGTGATCTGAGGAGGAGGGCCCGGGGATCAACCCCTGGGCTTGAGGGAGCTGGGTTGGGTCTGAGCCTCTGGGTTTGAGGGAGGAGGACTGGGGCTGGGATCCTGAGGCTAAGGGGAGGAGAGATGGGTATTGGAACCTTGGGTCTGAGGGAAGAGGGAGGGGCCCCACTGTATGTGTCAGGTTCTCACTGTCTTTCTTCTCCCTGTTATCTTGCTA